CTATCATACTGGTATGTCATACGAGAGAGAAAAACGTCGTATGACACACAGGTATGATAGTCTGCCACCTTTACCAACGTGTTGGCGTGCTCACCAAAATTTTGGTGAACAGCTCTCGCATACGCGTTGTGTATGATAGTCTTGCAAATTTATTGTAAGCAGGTGGAATATGTAGAATTATAATATAAATTTAATATGTTTTTTATTATTTTATTATTAATGTATATTTATTATTATAATATTTATTATTATTAAAATTACACTTATAAATTTGTGTTAAATATTTAATTGTATCTTAGTTAAAAAAAATATAAATTTTTACATAAAATTCTTATAAAAAATTAAAATACAATTAAATATTTTATTAATATATTAAATATTTTATTTAATTTATTAAATATTTTATTTTCTTTTATTTTAATTTATAAACGATGATTATAAGTAAAATTTTTTTAAAAAAACATCTAAATATAAACATAATTAAATTTATGATCTAAGCCCAGTAATAAAAAAACATATTGAAAATTGGTCGTAATAACAATTAATTAATAACCTAAATTTAAGATATAATACTTTGTATTCTAAATATGCTTTTCTTTGTTAAAACTTGTTATTAAAATAAAAGAATTTTAAATGTTAATAACCTTTAACTAACAAAAATATGGAAATGATCAAATTTCTTGAAAAACAATGAAGATATATACATTCTTATGTATATATATATATACATTATTTGTATGATCTATTTATGAAAAATTTCTTAAGAAACTTTACAGGTAGTGAATGAAATTAACTACGGTTCTTTACTGATCTTTTCATTTTAACTACTGTGCTTAATGACCAATAAACCTAAAAAAAATATGAATATGGATGCAGATAAAGCATTTTTAGATGCTTTCATCGAATGTTAATAAAAGTAATCGCTGTTTGTGGGATGTCCAAAGCTGTGAATATAAAGATCGCAAAAAAAACGCGGCATATATAAAATATACAAAATTATAATCAATTATAAGCAAAGCACAACCTATACGTTAACTATCAATTTTTTCAATTTTAAAATTTTATTTTAAACACACAAATTTTTACAGCACTACCCGCAAAAGCACTCTTCAAAAATTTTGCCTACTCTTGTGTGTCATACCTGTTCAAATTCGGTCGCTAGAAGAAATTTGAGCAAGAGAGAGCGCAACTCGTATGACACACCAGTATAATAGTCTGCACCCCACTTAAAGAACCTTTCGCTTTTTTCACTGAGGACCTTAAAAATGTGCCCGTCTGCATAAAATTTCTATAAAAATCTTGCAGAATGTGTTTTTTCTCATTGCCGTAGAGTGTCAGCTGTGTCCACGTTATTAAAATGTTTATTATTATAACACTGTAATATAGTTCAGCCTTCCAGAGAGGAAATTCAGTGTACGAACTGAACTTCATTGCAGTAAAAAACAAATAAAATAAAACTGCTGTTATATGAAAATGTTAAAAATGTTAAACATTTTTTTTTTGATTTTTGCTGTAAGAAACTTTTTGATTAATGAAGTTCGCAGAAGGCATTGTGAAAAAAAAATTCTTAAACATATAATTAAAATTTAAATGAAATGCAGATAAATACATTTTAAACATATTTAATATGTTGTACATGTGTTTGGTATCCTAATATCCTGGTTAAAATCTAGTTTAGAAATTTTTATTTTTTCTTCCTTTGGTTAATGCGGGTCAAATCCAATTTCAACTTCCTCTGGAACACATCAAATTGGTATCAAGTACAGTGGTGCTATGTTTGTTGTACTTTAACACACAAATATTTATGACCACTTCAATTCGGCAAGGATTTTTACAGCTTCTATATACACTCGTACGTTTATGTTTATGGATATTCCTTTGGCTAAAATATTTCTGAAATCACACAATTTCCGCAAAAACGCCTTTTTTACTTATTTCGCTTTTTATGTGAATGCCAGTCGTGACATTTTTGGTTCCTTTTTGCTATCTGAAGTGGTACCATCAACTGATTTGCTTACATGTCGTTTACATGCAGGATTGTTGAAGTCAGTTTTAAAGTCGGTTTGACACTCAATTGTTTTTTATTTATATTGCTTTTATGTCCTTTCTTAAACATTTACAAAGGACACCAATGTAGTCTCACAATTGAATTATTCGCTTACCATTAAACTCTTTTTTGGTTTTATTTTATTCAAAAGTCCTTAAATTTAATGAACATGAATTGAGGATAAAAGTATCGTTTGGTAGAATTTGACTATAGAATTTTATTTTTCAATAGGTCTTTGTATATAATGTGTTTGTATAAAAATATATTAGATATAAAATTTTATGAGTTAATTGTAAACCCTATTTGTTTACAATAACTGTTTACAGTTATATTACAATTAGGTTTAAAGTTGAATAATATTGTATTTGAAGTGGCAAATGATAATATTTTATAAAATGTTGATCTGTTTTCAGAAAATCGTATTTATGTTCAAATGAAAGATTTTCTGAAGGTAAAATATAATACGACAGCAGTTAGAAAAGTTAAGGATTAATAACCAGAATAATAATCTTTGATGATATTTTTCTTAATAACGTTTCTCTATTAATTTCTTTAATTGTTTAATTTTAAATATTATTTTATTAATATTATTTATTTAATTATTATTTATGAAATTCAAGAATGATTAATTTTTAATTGAGCAAATAAATGGATCCTTGTGTTAAGTATGATGTGAAGCGTACACTCAGAAAAATATGCTCTACTAGTTATATTGGCCTGAATATTTTGTTTGAGAAATTTTATCTCATATGGTTAAGAAAATATGAAAACCAACATGCGGGGACCGTAACAGATTTTATAAAAAAAATAAAAATCACCTTATAACTATTATCATACGCATTTTAAAATAAAATTCAAAAAATAATAATTAAATTTGCTTTATATTATATTCATCAAAAATAATTGTTTTATGTGCCTTTTATTTTTTTTAAAATAAAATTCAAAAAATAATAATTAAATTTGCTTTATATTTTATTCATCAAAAATAATTGTTTTATGTGCCTTTTATTTTTTCGTGCAGAAACAACTCTTAAAATTCTGCTTTTGATTTTAAAAAGTACTAACTGTTATTTTTGCCTTATAAATATAAAAATCTTAAACTAGCCCTGACCTCCCGAATATTTTTAAAACGAAAATATAAAATGCATTTTTCGTGTGAGGTAGTTGTTTTTGTAATTTCATACAAAATTTATTAAAATAACAATTATCATAATATAATAATTATAACAGTTTAACTATTTTTATAATACGTGTATAACAATTTTAAGTAGATTTTTATTAAAGGTTATTATACTCTCGAGTCCCAGTCTCGTAGAATATGTATTAACAAAATTCAATCAATTACGTCTTCTATATTTTCTTTATATTTTCTTCTCTTCTATATTTATTCGAAGGGAACCTGAAACACTGACCACGATGGTTATAAGACAAAAGATTTCAATAAATGATCGTATTAAATCGTATTAAAAGATTAAAATAAAGATAGATCGTAAATTATGACTCTGCTAGTTATCCACTGCCGTAAATTAGTGAATACACTGATATAAATACCATATATTATTAGTGGTGTTGTAGTTGATAACCTAATTAAATATCAAAACCTTTCACTAAACAACTACAACGGAGGACTTCCTAACTAAGGTTGTCGAATCAGTTCAAGAATAAAACATTAGAGATCTGAACTCTCACAGTTTCGATATAAGCAGCATGCCTGCAGCCTAAACTCTACTTAAAGCGATCCTAACACACTATATGCGCTTTATATGAATGGATAAGGAGAGCATTAAAATAAAATGAAGGACTATAAACTTTTAATTATTATTCCAGTGCTTGCGGTGTTATATTGACTTGTGAAAAGTCAATTGCAATAATCTTTGAAATGGGATAATCTACAATAATCTGCTGAACATGAAATTTTTCAGAATGGTGCGATATGATTTCTTAACTTTATGTTTCTAAACGATCTTTGTTCTTCTGTTCAAATTACGGATATATAGCCTAGAATTAAATGTGCGTAATACACAAAATTATTATGAAAAGGATTATACGAATTTGGGGTTGTTGCGGGATTTGGATCGCAAAGGAGACTTTGGATATAATATAAAAAATATATAAATTTTTTTGTTCAACATGACAAAACAAAAATCCACTTAATGATGTCAATTTAAATTTTAAGCATATTTCATTATTTTAATTGATTAGTCGCTAAATGGCGGATTAATTTAACTAAATTTTGCACTGAAAAATTAGATGGCTATCATACTATAGAATATCTTCATAAAATAATTTTTCAATAAGCTTTTTTATTTTAATTATTCAAGAGTATTGCATTTTAATGTTGAAATAATTAAATTTCATATATATATCAAATAATATTTATTAAATAAATGCCATATATTCCAATTCTAAGAAGAAATATTTCGTTAAGAAAACAAAACTTCGGTATAGTCAAAATACTACTTAGTGGAAAATCAATTAATCATTTAAATACAACATAAATAATTAAATGATTTAATGCAATACTAAGAGCCAAAAATATAAGTTAATTGATTTCCATTTCAATATAGCACTTAAGTCTATTATGAATGCTTAAATTGTTGTTTATATTTACATAAAATGAATAAGAGAGTCTGTGCAAAATATCTGAAACCAAAATTAAAGCAATATTTATAGCTTATGAATTAAATTATTCAGGTCTGTTTTGTGTTCATGACTTAAAAGCAACCCTAAAATGCTTAAATACATTGCCTTCCTTCAAACATAATTTAGTGTAGTTAATTAGGATATACAGGATAAGCTATTTCAATTAAGTTACCCGTAACATCACTTAAATATTGCGAGGTTAC